ATGGCCGGGCAGGAAAGATCGATGGCTGGCAGAGGAGGCTCGTGAGTTTGCCCGGAGAGTTCATAGTGAAAGAAGAAAATAAAAACGTCTGAGGTATACATAGGGGAAGAACAAGTTACAAGAGAGAAGCTGATTCTTTCTAAACATCAAATATTTTTCAAGAACTCCTCTTGCCGAATGCAACTCCTACAAAAAACCAGACACAGAAACAATGGAAAACGATGGCTGGCAGAGGAGGCTCGTGAGTTTGCCCGGAGAGTTCATAGTGAAAGAAGAAAATAAAAACGTCTGAGGTATACATAGGGGAAGAACAAGTTACAAGAGAGAAGCTGATTCTTTCTAAACATCAAATATTTTTCAAGAACTCCTCTTGCCGAATGCAACTCCTACAAAAAACCAGACACAGAAACAATGGAAAAACCCCAATCCCCAGAATCTGACAATGTTTGATACCCAACTGCCAGTTATTATTACCTTCTGTGTATCCGTCTCTCGTTTGTTTCTCTCTGCAGAATCTCGTCCAGACTATGCCGTGGCCAGTTGCCCTCCAGATTCCCGTTTCTCCGTATAAGAGCAACCGTTGGTAAGGGCTTCCACCTGACAAAGATCAAGACTTTGGGTAAACATACTGTTCCCAAAAAAACCGAGGCTTTGGATTAGAACGCTGTCTCGGAGTAACGGGAAACTCGAAACTCCGGGTAAGATCTGTTCTGCTTTCTTGAAAACGTGAAGAAAGACTGAAGAATTCAGACGGGGTGTGTGGAAAATGCGAGGAACGGTAAAAAGATTGGATGGAAATGTTAGGTGAGGTCGTTTTTTGAAGGGAAAAAAATATATTGAAACTTATGTTTTTTATAATAGTTTTTGAAAATAGTAATTATTTATTAATACATAAATAATTCAGATATTGATGCAATTTTTACATATATACAGGTTTTCACGTTTGTGAAACAGTATATGTGATGAACACATACAGACAGATCCGACACGAAGGAATCAAGATGGGATGAAGCAAGACTGTTGAATAGATTTATATATATATTCCGTACAAATTACATCACTCCCAAAAATAAAAAACCGAGAGAGAATCGATCTGATCACAGCAACAGCAACATGGACATGGTTATCGATCCGACACGTACGAAATCGCATCATCATGTCACACGTGTTAATTAATTATTACCCCCGAATTGATCTCCTCACTTAACCGTGGTTAAGCAACATAATCACTCAATTATTCCATCAAAACAAAACTACTTGTATATATAATTATTAATATTAGTTCCAAAAGATTCAAAGCCATAATGCACCAGCACGCTTGAGCATGGGAATCAAGGAGCGGTTGAGGTGAAGGCTCATGACCTCATTGGCTCCTCCGACAAACTCGCCGCCGATGAAGACCGCCGGCACGGATGGGCTGCAGCCGAGACGGGAGAGGGCCTGCTCTATCTCTCGGCCTCTAGGGACCTCGTCCAGCTCTTGGACCGCAGGGTTCACACCAAAGTCGCAGAGCAAGGTCTTGATGGTGTGAGACATGCAACACGAGCTCTTGCTGAATATCACCACTGGTCTCTCCTTCACCATCTTCGTTATCCTCTCCATCCTATGTATGTATGTATATATATGTGTGTGTGTATCGATAAAGAACTCGAAATGCTTTGGTTGAAAATGCGAAAGCAAAGATCTGAGATTGTTTTGCAACAGGTTTAATTTGGGGATCGGGGTTTAAAAAAGATGGAAACTTTTATGTCAAGATTAAGGAAAGAAAAAGCTCCTCTTCTATATATGAATTGGATATTAGGGTTTCTGTGGGGTGGGGTTGTATATTGTTCGATGGGTGTGCATAAAACGATAGGAAGAGGAGTGTTTATATAGACGATATGGAAATATTTCAGATTTTGGAGGGTTTCTCTAATGTTAGATCGATCGTATGATCATCGTTTCACGACAGCGACAAAACATATGAGAAAACCGTAACAGTGGTTGGAGATTCTTACAAGCTTCAAGTTTTATCACTTTATATATATACGCTGCATTTCACGTATTTAGGGTCATGGAGCACATGCCCTTACTCCGTACGGTTTCAAACTTTATTCTCAAATTGTTTTATGAGAACCAAAGTGTTCGATTAACGATAATATTATATGTTTGTACGCCGGTTTGATTAAATTAATTACTATATCGATGTTTTTTTGTGGACCCACATCGTTTCTATTGCCACTCATCCAATGTTTTTTGGACCCATTATCAACTGTAAATTTGTATTTTTTTTTCCGGGGGGTTAAAAAAAAAAAAGAAACGTTGTACATTTTCCGAATTCACCGTCTTAAACTTGTTTATGGTAAATGAAGAATTGATGTAATTAAATATCTCCTATAATGGGGCATTGGAATTATCCAAGAGAGGTGGGATCTATATCTATCCAGATTGGGACCCACCCATCTCCTTTTCATGTGAGGATTCTATTCTCCATTCGCCACTTCCATATTGTGAAAAAAAGCTTCTTTTTTTTTTTTCTTGGGTACGAATTTGTATAATAAGAGAGAGAAGAGTCCACACTCTCTCCTAGCATAAGCATTTAGCAACATTCATTTAATTCGTACGTTTTCATTACCATATATGAAAATGAAGAGATACGTGCATGTATACAATATATATATATATATATAGTCTATATATTCGAATTCTTATCCAGATTATACATGGTTTTGTGGAATTTTATTGCATGCACACATATACATGTACCTTCGAATCTTTTGTTGGGCTGTGTTGATAGTGTCGTGAAATGAACATCTATCCAATTATATATTCCATTCCTTTTTCTTTTTTCCAAAATACATTGTCTTTTTCGAGAGTCATATTAGTAAAATAAAAAAAATACGACTCACACACACGTATTATATATATACATATGCATCACAAAGAACCTTATAACGCTTACGCACATAGATGTGGGCAGATATTCGTATTCGTGATGTATATATGTCAGAATAGAAAGATGGGAGGGGCACGACATGGATATAAAAAGGCAATATATATATATATATATATGCATCATGCATGGGTGATTCGATAATAACGTGTACGTCTCTGACGCTCCAAAGCACCATCTCTTGCTCTATTGGAAAGCCAGTGCGCCAATATATATTATATTATATTGTCACATTTGGTCATTTTTTACCCTTTTTACGTACGCACGTCCGTACATGAGCCATGCAATGCAAATGCAACCCTACAAATCAATCATCTAAACATATTATTACTATATATATGTTATAAGGCGAAAATCTATGTTTTGTTTGTAATCAGGAATGTCAAAATTATTCAATTAAAAAAATAAAAAAGAGCCATGGACGGTCTATGGACCTTTTTGTTTTCTTAATAATTAAATTTGCATGTCAACTAGGAATATATTCTCATTCATAAGAAAACAATAATAATAAAACTCACGAGGACGGATCGTGGCTTCTCGCATACCATATATGGTTGACGATCTTTTTTTTTTATAACCAGGATGGTTCCCGATCCTTCGGCCCGACTACATCTACCATAAACTCGGGACAACCTTTGTATATAGACCATTTTGGTCCAGAAATTACATCTCTCACCACCGATAGAATCGAACCCATGATCTTGAAGATGATCTTGTGTCACCAACTGTTGGGTTGGTTGATAATCTCTTACGTGTGTATGTTTGAAATGCATGCATGCATATACACACATATTATATATTACTGATGATTATATTATATATTGTTTTTATATTAAATATACATGATATTGTGATATATATATATATATATATATGTATATACTGATCGAAATTCTTATTTTTATCAGACAAATTGATGTATGGATTGATACTAGTGATCAGCTTTATATATTCCTCACTGCATGACAGGGCAGATACTAAAAAAACGAATATAAAAAGCACAGATAATTAATTTTCTTTATATGTTGGCGACGCCGTGTATATATGGTTATATCCATCTATCTAAATTTTTTTACGTATTCTATCAAGTGGAGGAAATGCCAGAGAGACATATAAATATGGTTTTGACCGAAAATGAATATAAAGATGTTTTTTGGCGCCGAATTTTTTTTTGTTGCTTTAAATTATGCAAATTAATTTTTTGTTTGTACATAAATAATTAAATATTCGAAATTAAAAAAAATCAGTTCAAAATTATATAAAATAAGTATCGTAATATAAAGTTTTTAAAACTCTCATTATAATATCTAATATATAGCAACTTAAAACTATTAATTTTATATTGTTACATATTTATTTTTAAGAACGTTCTTATATATATATATATATGTATATATATATATATATATATATATATATGTTTGTTTGTAATCAGGAATGTCAAAATTATTCAATTAAAAAAATAAAAAAGAGCCATGGACGGTCTATGGACCTTTTTGTTTTCTTAATAATTAAATTTGCATGTCAACTAGGAATATATTCTCATTCATAAGAAAACAATAATAATAAAACTCACGAGGACGGATCGTGGCTTCTCGCATACCATATATGGTTGACGATCTTTTTTTTTTATAACCAGGATGGTTCCCGATCCTTCGGCCCGACTACATCTACCATAAACTCGGGACAACCTTTGTATATAGACCATTTTGGTCCAGAAATTACATCTCTCACCACCGATAGAATCGAACCCATGATCTTGAAGATGATCTTGTGTCACCAACTGTTGGGTTGGTTGATAATCTCTTACGTGTGTATGTTTGAAATGCATGCATGCATATACACACATATTATATATTACTGATGATTATATTATATATTGTTTTTATATTAAATATACATGATATTGTGATATATATATATATATATATATGTATATACTGATCGAAATTCTTATTTTTATCAGACAAATTGATGTATGGATTGATACTAGTGATCAGCTTTATATATTCCTCACTGCATGACAGGGCAGATACTAAAAAAACGAATATAAAAAGCACAGATAATTAATTTTCTTTATATGTTGGCGACGCCGTGTATATATGGTTATATCCATCTATCTAAATTTTTTTACGTATTCTATCAAGTGGAGGAAATGCCAGAGAGACATATAAATATGGTTTTGACCGAAAATGAATATAAAGATGTTTTTTGGCGCCGAATTTTTTTTTGTTGCTTTAAATTATGCAAATTAATTTTTTGTTTGTACATAAATAATTAAATATTCGAAATTAAAAAAAATCAGTTCAAAATTATATAAAATAAGTATCGTAATATAAAGTTTTTAAAACTCTCATTATAATATCTAATATATAGCAACTTAAAACTATTAATTTTATATTGTTACATATTTATTTTTAAGAACGTTCTTATATATATATATATATGTATATATATATATATATATATATATATATATGAGCACTATATATGAACTAAAAGTGTAGTTTCGGCCAAAACATGCTCAATCCGCCAACGCACAACGCGTGGCCTCCGACAGAGTTAGGAATCATATTCATGTATATATTTAATTTCATTGTAATTTAAATTTTTTGGTCCAAAATTCTCCACTGTGACATAAAATCGCAGATTCGGATTCAATAAATAAATAAAATAAATTACGTTATTGGCTATACCGTCATCCCAAGAGCCGATTCCATGCTTCGGAAAACCATGCGTGCGTATGCCTCTCTCTCTCTCTCTCTTTTAATTTAAAAAGATATCTAAGATACTGTTGTTATTTGTTCCTAAAGATTTAGCTCAAAAAATGCTTTAATAATGAAAAAAATTATGCTTGTTTGAAGAATTCATATATTATAACTCTTTCTAATATTTTTTTAGTTGGAGCGGATAGGACTTGGACATCCAATTTACCGATACATATATTATGTGAACTTAATACAAACATAATCCACATACATACATATATATATATATATGTATATGTATGTGGGGGGGGGATAGGTTGAGGGAATCGAGTTCTTGATATCGATCTTCCGACAAGAAGGTGAAAAAGAAGAAAACATAAAAGGACCGTACAAGGCGTCTAAAACTGCGTTTTGAGGGCGTCCACTTTCGGCAGCGTTTGGGGTTTATCCAAAACAATGTATCTACCACTCAATACGTGCGTGCAGAATTGATCTTCAAACGACGTCGTCTCAATCACAAGTCCCTCGCTCTTCCAAGTGTATTACCATCTCCTCTTTCGCTTGTTTTCCTGTTTCCAATATAAAAAATACATTATATCTTTTTCATTTTTCCAATAAAAGTTTACTATATATATATATATATATCATGCACGGTCGAATTATAATTATATATACAATAAAATCTTCAATCATAACACAATACACAAATTCAGAGCGAGAAAAATTGTGATAACCGTTCCCTCCCTTCCGAGCATCGAACTATCAGTTGAATATAAACAAATCTTTCTCTCATATATATATATATATATATATATATATATATATATATATATAGTATAATAACACTGTTAATCCTAAAATAAAATCTATAAGGTTGAAAATACAATGAAACAATTGAAAATGACAAACTGAAATTTATTGTATTATTGTAAATATATAAATAATAATTTCTTTTTTTTCTTTTAATCCAATATTCAAATTTGACCAAGATTTTGTCACAATAGATATAGATGGAGGATGATCCAAACTCAATCCCGCTCTTAATGCAGACTTCGTCAAGCAATCATCAACTATGGTTTGTTTCTTCGATATATCAATCTTTCTTTATCATCTCTATCTCTTGATATTTATGAACCAAATTTCAAATCGGAATTGGAAATTTGTTTCGGTGATGGAACATTGACACACATTGATTGAATGATGGACTGAATTGAAGAGGCTTCTTCCTTTTTTTTATGGTGGGACAAAGGCACTGTCCTCCTTTAGCTTTACTTGTATGAGCAAAAAGGCTGAGACCACTAAGTTCAATTATTTCATGAATGCACCAAACCAAACCAAACCATGAAACCAATGTGTATATATATAGACATGTGCCCAACAAAGCATATTCTATATTGCCTATGCATATGATCATATGAGTTATGTGTTCATATGAGGCTCTCTAATCAAACCAATATAAAACCCATTGTATAATCTATTATTAATTAACTCTTAAATCATGATCTCACAGCCCACGTCAGCCACAAACACAAGTACACGTATACATACAGACGCGCATACATAAAACCAGGGGCAGAAGGCGGTGGTGATATTCAGCAAGCGCACGTGCTGCATGAGCCATGCAATAAAGAGGCTGTTCTACGTACGAGCAAGGGGTAACTCCATATGAAAAATTAGTTTACGACATAAAGATTGGTTTTGAGATATTTATAGATAATCCAATATGATACATGTTATGGAAAACTATATATTATAAAAACTATGGGGAATTTTAATTCGTGTGAAGCTTCCATATATATATATATGCATATATATCACATTTATCATATATATATGCTGTATATCATGAAAGTGGGTTGCGGTTTGATACATTGAATCGGGTACTAAATTCATTGCCTACAAGTGCCATTGTGTCACCAATACCTCAGCAAGTTATATATATACATACACGCCTCGGTGTGTGTGTATATATATATACGCATGTACGGATAAAGTGTGTATGTACACGAATTTGTTCCAACAGTATATACGTGATATATGAATTGGATCACTAACACTTACATATATATATATATGCATGTACGGATAAAGTGTGTATGTCAGCGCATATATATATATATATATATATGTGTGTGTGTGTGTATTATGTCAGGTTGTGGCTTTGGTTTACTCTCTTGCTGCCATGTCTCTCGACTACCGATATGAAGGAATTCTATTCGTATATATTTTGTTGTTTTGGTAACGTCTAATTCGGCCGTGTTCTGTTATTTTCTTGGATTATATGTTATACATTGAATGTCTCCTACGAATATTATTTATTCATTCAGAAATTTCACACGGAATTTTTTTTATAGAACTATTCAAACTGTATACTCATTACTCAATACGGTTGGTAAATAGATAGAGCGAATATTTCAGTTTAAATATTTATAATCTAAATAGACCGAATCAAATAATATATATATATATATAATTGTGTAAAAATAAATTTTAATCTAAATATTGACTGGGTATAATTTTCCTAAAAACAAATTAATTGAATTCAAACCGATTCTAAATAAAAAAACTAAAAAAACGAACTAAATACTTTTTTCATAAAATATTTTAAATAAATAAAAAAATAACCGTCGTCTAATCACAAATATAAAATTATTGCCGGTTTTATTTGTGTTTCTTGAAAAAAAAAAATCCAATTGGACTTTAGCGAAACAAGTCAATCATTCGTTTGTACAACTCTAAAATAAAATCATGTTATGGAAACGGACTACACACATAATGACGCATTTAATAAGACGAAGACATGTGTATATGATTATATTTGGAACCGTATATACGCAAATCCATGTCCACTGAAGACACAAACCTAACAACGTCTTTGTTTTATTTAATATATCGCATCAAGTTTTCACTTTTAAATATATTCCACGTGGCGGGGATGGAGTTTGGTCAACAATCATTGACCGAATGCCCACTAAGTTACTAACCACGTTTCATGTGCTGAGAGGATCGACGGTGGTCAGTCAAAGGCGAAACTCGTAAATTCATATTTCTCCGACAGCAGAGGCAGTTATCCGCAGTGCTCATGTGCATTGTCTGTTCGGAACGTCACCAACCTGTTGAACCGCCACGTGTCCGATGATGTGATCCGTGGCACACGGGAAAACCGTGTGTCGAGGCGCACTGTATAATTGTCTTCGCACGACGGTGCAATATTGCAGCGACATTTTCTCGGTGGCAATGCTCAAATGCACGCATATACGATATTACTATTTTTTTCCCCCATTAAATAGAGCACGTGCCATTCGAATTTCGTTTCGTTTCAATTATGTTCGGTTATGAAAAAATAGTATTTAAAAAAAATACGTTTTTCAGTCAATTTAATTTTTTTTTTCGATTTAAAAAAAATCATATTCATTCGATATTTCGTCGAATTCAGTTCGGTTGTAGTTATATATTATTCGGTTTGAATTGATTCGATTATTAATCAACCCTAGCATGTGTATGTCTGTCCAAGTTTAGTAACTCAATGTGAGTTAGAGATAATTATCAGTTCCGTCATTCGAGTATTCGCATAATATACAACTTTAACTTGAAACGTGAAAAACTATATACAGATTTTGATTACCTTTGTTAATATGTATATCTAGTTACATACACACATATAAATTGCACCTATCGAAATAAATGGGTCAACTTGTTTAATTTTGCTTTTACGCCGTCATTAAAAATGTTTAGTTTTTTTTTATTCCATGAAAATAAGGAAAAAATTACAAAATAAGTAAAAGAAAACTTGGGGGCGTAAACTTTTCAAAATCCATAGACGTTAGAGTTGGACCAAACGCGTGTATTTTTCCTAAAGGAAAAAGAAATATGTTTTTATATTAATATGTTCACCGACTTTTTTTTTTGTAATCTATAATTAAATCAAAGAAGACACAAAAAGCTCAAAGATGAATACACACATAGACACACATATATATACGTTATGCGTGCTTCTTTTTAAAACTACACAATTTTTAGAACTATTTTTAATTTTTTTATGAATTCGTCATATTTTCCAAATGTATATTTATATTATAGAACAAATAAATATCTCTTTTAAAAATACTAAGAATTTATTTATAATGTATAATATATAAATACATGGGTCGAACATGAATTTACAGCCAAAATTAGTCAGACCATGACCACTATAAATCATGTGTTTCTACAACAATTGTGATGTTTTTTTGGGTAAATTTTGTGATGAAACCTAATGTGATTGAAAATATCATATCCAAAAATCTCAATGAACTTGTAGTTCATGTCAGTAATCCATGATATTTTTTACAAAATTATTATTTTTTGTAAAAAAATAAATATGAATATTTATAACATTTTGGTATTGTGTTTTCTCATTACATGCCAATAACCACTATCAATAAAAACAAATATGATTAATTTCTGATTTTTATTTATTGGTTCTCTAGCAGTTCTGAAGGAAAGCATCGTAGTACTTTATATAATTATATTTATATAATTACATTAAGTTGTAATGTAAGGAATATTTGTTACCAGAAGCGCGCGCGCACATATATATATACAAATAATATAAATTAACGAAATTAATTTACCAGAAAAAAAAAAGAAAAAGAAAAAGAAAAAAGAAAAACGTGGGTTTGAGAATGTCGCTCACAAAGCGTGGAAGCACATCCTTTCAGGTGGGACCCATTTCCCGACCGCGATGATGCGTCTTCTCTCTCCCGTCGCCGTAATTTTTACAAACAATAGCGGTAAAATTACAATTTTAATAACTATTTTTTTCTTTCAAACCCTTGACTTTTTTTTCCCGTATAATTACTTTCCTCTTCCTTTTTTTTTTTTTACCAAAGCGTTGTTATATCCTCGGAAAATATTTTATTTTAGTTTTTTTTTTCATTTTTTATTTTGGATATGCGAATCTTTGGAGACTCGAAGTTTGATACTATTTGATAAAAACAGGGTAAAAAAATCATTTAACAGGATGTATATATAATGAATCTTTTATAATTTCAATGATATCGTATCATGTATTTGCATGGGGAATATTACGTACTGAAGTTAATTATGTATATATAGCGCTTTAGATGTGATGGATTAGTTGTATCTTAAAAGTTCGAACACCGCTACCAAACGTAAAAAGGAGAAAAAGAAAGAAAAAAAACAATTCTAAAAATATATATATCATATATAGAAATGATATGTGAGTTACGTTCATATAATTAAGTAGCTGTAAAACTTATTAAAACATATATAAGATAATGTATGTACATATGTTATATATATATACATGCATTAAAAATATACATATGCATGTTGTAATCAATTGTTGAATTTTAAAATAATCGAACATAGGAGGATATATCTTTTAAACGCAGTTTACGTATGTCAATCATTATAGGATATTATTGAGGGGGAAAAATGCGTTATTTTGAATGACAATAAGAAATATGATTATAGTTTACATATACTATTTTGTTTGTATATTGTTTTTTCTTTCAAAACCTTATATTCACGGTTCAAAACTTCAAAATGTTTTTTTTTGCAATAAATTATCTGTTTTATTTTGTTTAAATTATATGTTATATTAATATAATAATTATTTAAAAATTTCATATAATAAATATTTTTTCAAAAATATAATACCCCAACCATGGTTTAACGTTATTATTGATATAATATCAAAAACCATTGTTTAACTATCGTTTAACAATATTTCCATCATTATTTACTATTATCACTATTTGCGTGAGGATATAATTATATTTTAAAATTATGATTTATGTATTTTATTTGGAAATTTAGTCATTTTTTTAATTTAAAGAAAAAGGAGGGAAAAGATAGAGTGACGGCAACATTATCCGTATAATCATCGTATAGTATCCAGAAGATTACGCATCATTAAGTAGTAATCCCACAGTTTAACTGTAATTATTCCCTTAATTTACTCTTCTTATTTTTTTTCAACCTTTCAACGAGAGCAAAAGGAAATAAAAAAAATATATATCACATTGATTTTCCCTTTCACAGTTTTTCAAAATTAATCTGAAAATTATTTAATTAAATTTCATCTCTCTCTTTTTTTTTCTTCTCTCCATTACCTTCTCTTCACTTCTTGCGTAGCACCCACAACATTTTTTTTTCCTCGATTTGTTGATCTGCCGCTGGTCTCAATCTCTCTCCAAAGATTAGAGAGAGAGAGAGGTGTTGAAAAAGCCCGAAGCTTTTTTTTTTCCCCTTTCTATTTTCCATATGGGGTTACAGTGAAAATCCCGAGATGTGTTGAGCAGAAGAGTTGGGAATCTCCAGTTGATTTTGTCGGTAGGGTTTTTGAATTTCGATTGCTCCGAGAAGGGCTTAACTTACGGAGATGAGTGGGTGTCTCCCGTGTTTCGGATCTTCGACGAAGGACGCTGCTGCGAAAGAATCGGCGAAGAAGGACGCTTCGGCTAAAGACGGCTCCGTCACTCAGTCCCACTACGTCAGCTCAGGTGAAATTTTCATCACTTTTTTAGATTTTTACGGCGGGATCTGTTCAATTTTCATGCTTTAGATCGATTTGGTATGCGGGGTTTCGTAAAAGTCGCAGCCTTGATGACGATTTGCTGTCGATTAGAACGAAATGTTGTTGTTTCTGATCTGTAAGTTCATCTCTTCTAGTTTATGTAGTTTCATTTCTGTGGAATCTATGGACTCTTAATTCCTGAGATCTGTTGGATTTTGGGAGTTTTGGTTTGATTTGGAATGCATTAGGACATGAAAGAGAGAGAGAGAGAGTTAGGAATGCTATGCGAGAAATTATGAGTCATAAAAATGGAAGCTTTAAGGTTTAAACTGAACTGTCTGGAGCCGAAGATTCAGCCTTTTGGCTAGAAAAAAAGGCGAATGGGGTGTACTTTTGGATATCAGTAAGTCAAGAACAAAGTGAATATTTTCTGTTTGAGTTGAAACTCATTAGTCTCTGAACTCCATTTGGCTGTTTTAGGTTTAACTTGTTTCTGCTGTTTGCATTTGAAATCTGTTGGTGTTTGATTGATTTGGTGTTTGTTTTTGTTCCGTGCCCACTTGTTTGATCACTTCCCTGAACCAACTTCTAGTTGTTGTTATGTTTTGAAACAGCAAGAACTCATGTACTAATGTTTTCCTTTTGTAGACAAATCGAAATCTAAAGGTGGGTCTGAACACAAGAAGGATGCAACAACGGCTCCAAAGGACGGGCCACCAGCAAATATAGCTGCACAGACATTTACTTTCCGAGAGTTGGCTTCTGCCACTCAGAACTTTAGACCGGAATGCCTTCTCGGTGAAGGAGGATTTGGACGTGTTTACAAGGGCCGTCTCGATAGCACAGGACAGGTTATGTCTTGAAACTGACACGAGATCCACCCTCTTTAAAGTTTTTGATGAATTTACGTTTACGTCTAGAATGTTCTTCCGTTTTTCTTTTATGTGCAGATAGTTGCGGTTAAACAGCTAGACCGGAATGGCCTACAAGGAAACAGAGAGTTTCTGGTGGAGGTTCTAATGCTGAGTCTCCTGCACCATCCTAATCTCGTGAATTTGATTGGTTATTGCGCTGATGGTGACCAACGTCTCCTCGTTTACGAGTACATGCCTCTGGGATCATTGGAGGATCATCTCCATGGTATGCCCTTTTAGTGTTCGTCACGTCTACGTATGGAAACATGTTTCGTGCACGTTATTTTCCAATTGAAGAGATACCGTATATAATTAGTCTTATAAACAATCTGAATACAAGATAAACAATTGGATCGAGGAGTTATTAACTTGTTATTGGTGAAGGTTAGTGTCATTGGGGTTGAAAGAAATGTCGGTGTGGAAAAAGAATTTCGGATTGTTTTTGCATGAAAAATAACGCACGTATCTGCATTTCGTGCTATATATAAGTATATTTATTGCGTCTGATATGATATTATCGGTAAGTCTATCATCTGCTTAGGTTTTTAAGCCTGCAAATGAAGATATGCTGTATTAAAACTCCATTATTTTTAGATCTTCCTCCGGATAGAGAGCCTCTAGATTGGAATACGAGGATGAAGATAGCCGCAGGAGCAGCAAAAGGACTGGAGTACCTTCACGACAAAGCGAACCCTCCTGTGATCTACCGGGATTTGAAGTCATCTAACATACTTCTTGGGGAAGGATATCACCCGAAGTTATCTGATTTCGGGCTGGCCAAATTGGGGCCTGTCGGCGATAAAACCCACGTCTCAACCCGTGTGATGGGCACTTATGGTTATTGCGCCCCGGAATATGCCATGACTGGCCAACTCACCCTGAAGTCGGATGTCTATAGCTTTGGTGTCGTCTTTCTTGAGCTCATCACGGGTCGGAAGGCCATTGATAATACCCGAGCACCAGGAGAACACAACCTCGTTGCATGGGTAAGTATCAGTGAATCATTATCCTAAATCTTTATCCTCTGACCTGAATAGTAACGTCTGTTTCTGTTTCTGACCAGTTAAAATGGTTCTTTTGTCTGGTTTCCCTGTCTCTCCGGGGGCTCTGTTTATGTTACAGGCGAGGCCATTGTTCAAGGACAGGAGGAAGTTCCCGAAGATGGCAGACCCATTGCTGCAAGGGCGATACCCGATGCGTGGTCTATATCAGGCACTGGCGGTTGCGGCAATGTGCTTGCAAGAGCAAGCGGCCACGAGGCCACTCATAGGCGATGTGGTGACGGCTCTGACCTACTTAGCTTCCCAAACGTATGATCCGAATTCTCCAAGTGCTCAGAGCAGCAGAGGAGGCCAGCCCTCGATCAGGACAGCGAGGGATGACCGGAGGAGCACGGGGGACGGCAGCAGCCTCGACAGCCCGGCTAGCACACGCAGCCGCCTGGGCTCACCTGCCACCCACAGGAACTCTCCGGAATACCGCCATTGCTGCAAGGGCGATACCCGATGCGTGGTCTATATCAGGCACTGGCGGTTGCGGCAATGTGCTTGCAAGAGCAAGCGGCCACGAGGCCACTCATAGGCGATGTGGTGACGGCTCTGACCTACTTAGCTTCCCAAACGTATGATCCGAATTCTCCAAGTGCTCAGAGCAGCAGAGGAGGCCAGCCCTCGATCAGGACAGCGAGGGATGACCGGAGGAGCACGGGGGACGGCAGCAGCCTCGACAGCCCGGCTAGCACACGCAGCCGCCTGGGCTCACCTGCCACCCACAGAAACTCTCCGGACTACAGGAGACGGGATGCGAGCATGGGCTCGGAGCTCGGGAGGAGCGAGACGGGAGGCGGGTCGGGGAGGAAATGGGGGTTAGGCGACATGGAAGGGCCGGAGTCGCAGAGAGACAGTCCGGTGAGCGTGGGGAGGGGGAGGAACAGGGATTTGGACAGAGAGAGGGCGGTGGCAGAGGCAAAGGTGTGGGGAGAGAACTGGAGGGAGAGGAAGAGAGCGAGCAATGCAGCGAGTTTCGACAGCACAAACGAGTGAAATGGCCACTTGGGTATGGAAAACAAGAGGAAGGAGATGGCGGAGAAAGAGGCTTTCACAGAGAGAGGAGAGAGGGTCTAAAAGGCTGAAGAAAGAGCCTTTGAAAGAGAAGGGTCGTTGGAGATGGGTCTACGAAAGGGAATAAGAATGTATGAACTGTTTTGTCTGGTCGGGTCAGTTGGGTTGTCAGGATCTGTCGGAGTCAGATGTCAGAGCCGTAGTAAGAGAGATTCTTCAACACTGTGGTTGAAGCTGCAGAAGGAAACAGAGCGAAGCATGGGATTTGGGTGAGAGAGAGAGCAAGTGCAAAAGGTCAAAGCTTTCTTCAGAGTTTTTTTTTTCCTTCTTTTTATGGGGATTGTGTATGTAATCAGGGAGAGAGACTGTCTTTTTTTTTTTTTAGTAATTTTTATGGTTTTTGTATTATTTTTTTTCCTGTTTCCTGAGTCTCTGTATGGATTGGAGTCTCTCAAGAAAAAAGAAAAAAAAAAGTGTTTATTGTCGTCTATAGGCCCATTTTTACATCCTAAAACAGTGTATCACCAGATCATAGCCCGACTACAATCAATATGTGTGTGTATATATTTCTGCAAATTCCCGACCTCATGCTGGACAGATTCAGGCCCATGGGCCCATCTATAGGCCCATTTAGGTCAAGAACAGAACGGGTAGAATGATTATTATTTTTATTTTTTAGTTTTTCTATCATCTTTCCCCTCTCACGCGAAATTGGATAGGCAGATTAAAGCCCTTATGATCGCCGTTTTCCCTTGAAGTTGGTCGCCGGTTGCCGGAAAGTTTCTCTTTCACCGACCGGAATCCTGAATTTGCGTGGGAAGCTGTTCAATCGATGCTTTATTAGCCTTGGTTGTTGTTGGATTTGTTGGCCTTAATTGCTGGAATTTGACGAGTAGTGCTCTTGCCCTAATTCTCGTGAAATTTGTACAAATGTATGTTGATTTCGCTTTCTTAGCTAAGACCTGGACTAATTTTGGTGCAAATTTCGTTGATTGTTCTAATTTGCGCTCGATTTATTTGCAACTGAAACTCTCTGTTGCTTTGCCCTTGTTTTGGTCGAGAAGACGAGACAGTGAAAGAGTTCATGATTATGTTGTGGCAGAACATGGGTCAAAGAAGATGGTTGTTCTTGTTGGCAGTTTCTGTTTGTCTGCTTTCTATGTCAAGTGGTAGAGGTACTGAAAGCTACGATGAACCCCATTACGTTTAGAAACTGCTATGGAGTGAAAGGATTTTGAGGAATTTATGGAGGTTTTAGCTAAAGGAGGGAAGAAAAGGAAGAAGATGATTATCTAATTATGTTGCTAGTGTTTGGCTACATGTGATCTCATTGGATTAGTGATTGATGATGGATTAAGGCTTATCAGTCATTCGTTGCAGTTCTCAAGATAAAGACCGAAGAGGATCGCCCTGTTTACAACCATACACTTGCCAGAACACTTGTGGAGTATGCTTCTGCGGTAAGTTCGTGGAAAATTCTCTCCCTTGTGTTGAAAAAAAAACACATGTAATGATAGTATCATTCCGCTTGTTCGTGTTCTAGAAATCAGTCAGGTTCTTGTCTTGTTTAGATTATTACGTATCATGAAATGCATTGCCAGAAACTATACAATCTAAGACTGCTGGATGGAGTTTCCATATGCAGGTGTATATGTCTGATTTGACTGCACTCTTCACTTGGACCTGTGACAAATGTAACGGTTTGACAAAGGTATTATTTCTGCCGAGGCAGTCCACTGTTGTCTGAAGCCACCATAACAATATATACATTGTTGCGAGTCGGGTATTCTTAGGCTTTTTCGGTCGATGCAGGGTTTTGAAGTAATAGAGCTAATAGTTGACATCGAGCACTGCTTACAGGTGTGGTCCCTGCATGGTGGTCACATACATTACACATCAAAACATTTTGTGCTTCCACTGGAAAGTTGCTAATATAAATGCATCTAAGCTGTGATTTCAGGCATATGTTGGGGTGGCAAAGGATTTGAACTCCATTGTTATTGCCTTTAGGGGTACTCAAGAACACAGGTGCTATTATATTCGCAAACATAGTTTAAAAGCTAATTTATGTGTCTAAACTTGTTCGATGTTTAAATCGAACCCAATACATGTGCAGCATTCAGAATTGGGTCTCAGACTTGTTCTGGAAACAGCTCGATTTAAACTACCCTGATATGCCTGATGCAATGGTGCGAATATCTACGAATTTCTCTCATCGAGTTAAGTATATTATATTGTCCTGTGTATAATAATCATTATATGCGCTGTTGCAGGTACACCATGGCTTTTATAGTGCTTACCACAATACATCAGTTCGTCCTGCAGTTTTGAGTGCAGTAAAACAAGCAAAGAATTACTATGGTGACATCGATATTATCGTTACTGGTCATTCCATGGGAGGAGCCATGGCTTCCTTTTGTGGCCTAGACCTAGTTGTAAATATTCCCGGACTCAGCTCTAGCTTTTTCGATATGTTATGTCGGTTGAACTTGTTATCACATTTCTATGTGAATTTTTGCAGGTCAATGAAGGAGAAGAAAAAGTGCAGGTTATGACATTTGGACAACCTCGTGTCGGGAATGCTGCCTTTGCATCTTACTACAGCATGCTTGTACCTAATACCTTCCGAATCACACATGACCATGATATTGTGCCTCATCTTCCCCCTTACTATTATTATTTCCCTCAGAAAACGTACCACCACTTCCCAACAGAGGTAACACATTTTGTCCGAAATTGTACTCGATTTGATAAAATCGTGCGTGCATGACCTGGTGGCTTGAGTTTGCATATCGCCTCTCGTTACTACTAATCTTGCGATGGCATTTGGTTGTGAATAGTTAATAGGATTTGACGTTATTTTAGCATCCCTCGAATGATTTCATGGTTTTCATGGCATCTTCCGGTCTTCATCCAGAAAAACGATATACGAGTTAGGTTCCTTTTATAAGTTTGATAACCTTTAGACTCGTTTGCTAAATTCTTTCGGGTTACATCATGAACTGTCTATAAAGACGACAAACGAGGTTATCTTCCATATGTTTGTAGGTATGGCTGAGAGATGTCGGATATGGATATCTAATTATCTATGGTGTAGAAAAAGTTTGTGACAACACCGGCGAAGATCCTACTTGCAGCAGGTAAAAGTCATTTTTCAATCCATGCAACGAGATAAAAAAACCCGATAAATATAATTCTTTCTTTTTTCTCGTTACAGATCCGTAAGGGGAAGTAGCATTTCCGACCACCTAGCGTATTTCGGAGTCGAGTTAGGGTGTGAGGCCTCGAGATCGTGTAACGTAGTGAACGCTCCGCTCGAGAGTTACAGCTCAGTGGATACAAAGGGAAACATAGTTGTGTCGAGGACACCGTCTTCTCCAAAGGTACTGCAAATGAAAACCCTGTCTGAAACTGAAACTCAAGTTGAAGGTTTCTAAAGAGTCTTTGGTTTAGTTATCTGTTGAGAGAATGTTATTTTGATTCATTGTGGATTGGAAGAAAGAAGAATGTGTATATACAGTGAGACGTCAATTACAGTTGGTAAATAAATACGTTAAAATGTAAAATTAAATTAGTATTTCTTCTTCTTCTTGTGTGAAGATTCATTCATTCACAAGTTTAGACATAAACCTAAACTTGGTTAGTTCAACCGGTGAAACTGGACGTAAAGTGTCCCGACTCGAGTTCGAACCTCAAATTTAGACGCGGAGCGTATAATCCAAATAACATGAATGATTTCCAACCATGGAATTAGTCTGGTGTGGTTCAGGATATCCAATTATCAAAAAAAAAAAGTTTAAACATAAAATTTTTGGATGATGATCATGGAAAATAATAAAAAAGACAAATAAATATTAAAACAAGTTAATTTTACTTGGAATCTGGGTTTAGTGGGCAATAATAGCTGTATTCAATTTTTTTTTTTTTGTATATATAACTATAGGATTTCTTAGAGTTTATCCACATGCACATGCACATGCGCATGTAAGTCAAATATTTAGTCTGTTCTCTCTCAACTGTCCAGGATTGAACGACCACTTGCACACTGCTTATTTAATGCCATTTATTTTTATAGATATTAGCAAAAGATGCGAGCATTAAAAGGGATGCATGAAGACGTCACGGAATGACATATTATTTGACTCCATATTGCATTCATTTATGTCATTTTTTCCTACTAAAAATTTAGTTTAAAAAAAAATTGAAGTTACAGAACTGTGCATCCCATTAGATTGGGAGACTTTGCTTGTATATAGACAAATGATTAAATTTTAGTGCAATTTTTTTTTTAAATAAAGTTTTTAAAGATTTTGGGATACCAAAAATGGAGGATACCAGTAAACAACAGATTGAGAAATAATATTCTCTTGTTTATTATTGTACAGACTTATATACAAATGAATATGCAACAGTTTAGGTAACTAAATAACACAAGTCAAGGGATATGATAGATATAGTATAATTAGGAAGATATTCTTCTATTATGCAGATTGCTCTGCCCGCAAGCAAGGAATACTTTTGGCATTCCACATCCTATTATATTATTTCCGAGAAATTAGAGAATTATTTCATTAAAAATCGGCCCACTTTCATATAGTACATTATTTTACATCTAATAGCAATGTAATATAATCTAATTACATAAAAATTATATTTTTTTCAAAAATGTCCACGTAACGCCGAAACTAAATAGGAAATTTTAGAGACTTCGTAAAAAATTTCAGAAGCTGGTAGATGATTTGTCTCCTGGTTTTTTGGATGAATATAGACAAATGAATTCTAAAAAAACTCAAAAAAATTGTATTTTGTTCTTTTAATATGAAAAAATGAAAATATGGGGGAGTCTAGTCTCGCTCAAAGAAGTAATTCGATTTCTTATTGGCCCAAAATTCGGCGCTCTGTTCGGTTCTGTCATTGTCATTCATCTTCTTCCACCTTATCCTCTCTCTCTCTCCCCCTCGCTGGCCGTTTCTTCAAGCACAATTTCACGTTCTTCAACGCCAAAAAAAAAAGTTGCAGATTTGTTCCCTTTGATCTCCGAAAAAGATCGGAGTGTTGTAACAGGACGCGGATAATCTTTTTTCCATTTCTTTTTCTTTTTTCCTGGCCGAGAGATTCCGATACAAATAAGTCTAAAGGAGAAAAAATTCGGTAATTCTTTTTTGTGTCTGCAACTCTCGACAAATCCTTCACCTGTCTCTCTCTCTCTCTCTGTCTTTCTCCTCCTGCTGTCATGGAAGCCACAGCCAATGAGCGCCTTCATTTTGGCAAGATGGGTTTCGGGTAATTACCCCTTTTTTTGTTGCTTTCCGTTTTGTTGGGAATGTTCCGATGTAGCTTAATCTCTGTCGTGTTCCGTTATCATGTTTGATTCATGGGATTTGACTGTTTTTCATGTTCGATTCATGGGTCTCTCTGCGTTTCTTTGTCTGCATTCTGTGTTCAAGGGTTTGACCTGTTTTCTTTCAGTCTTCAATTCCTCAATTTCATAGATTTTGTTTTCTTTTTCCGTGTACTGAATTGTGAAGTTTGCTCCTTTTATATGTTTGATTCATGGGCTCTGATGTCTGATTCATCTGTTTTTCTTTGAGTTATTGTCTGATTTTGATTCCTGAAGTATGTTCCTTTCCTATTCTGGATCCGTAGGTTCCACCAGTTTCACATTTTGATCCACAAAGTTCGTTCCTTTTCCACGTATGATTAATGGGCTTGATCTGTTTCTCTCATTCATGCCATTCAATCAACTCTTCATGTTCGATCCGCTGATCCCATCCCCCCTTCAACTTTCACGGTTTGAATCGCAAAGTGGTTACCTTCACCACATTCGATTCAACGTGTTAAAATGATGGAAGTTTCAATTTGTGCTTCTCTTTTCCAATTCAAGGTGTAAGCATTACAGGAGGAGGTGCAGAATCAGAGCCCCATGTTGCAACGAAGTCTACTCTTGTCGCCATTGCCACAACGAGGCTATGGTAACTTCAATCTCCTTTGGTGTTTTTGTTGTGTCTCACCAATCGAAACATTACTTGGTAGCTTTGATTGTTCTTCATATGATATCTCTTCTCTTTTAACCTTTGCAGGGTTCATTGAGCAATACCTACAGCCACCATGAGATTGTTCGTCAAGACGTGAAACAAGTACAGAATCGAGATCTCTCTCTCTGTTCCTCTTCGGAGATTCTTGTTCCCAGCATTGCTCGTTGTAACATTTTGTTGCTGTGATGGTGTTTTTAGGTTATTTGTTCCGTTTGCGATACAGAGCAGCCGGTAAATCTCTATCCATCCATTTCATTGCCTCAGTTGTTTTATATCGGGAAGGCATTGTGTTAGTTTCTTTCTTTTCTTGGGAAACTTTGTGTTATCGAATGGTCACAACATTTTCACCGGACCTTGTGCTGAGAATGGCTTAGCTTTCATATGAAATTGCCTCCATGTTTACATGTTTCATCGAGAAAACGATCGTGGATTTATGATACGATAATGCTCTCTTGATGCTCTTAAGTCGGATTCTCGATGTACTCATTCCAGGTTGCTCATATCTGCTCCAACTGTGGTGTAAACATGGGGGAATATTTCTGCAAAACCTGCAAATTCTACGATGATGATGTAACTATCGCCTATCTAATTCATCATCCTCCACTGATTCACTGAGATCATGAAATTGTTTTCTTTTTAGCATCTGAATCTTTTCCCTCTATATATTCGACTCGAATGTTTGCTCGTGTTTGTGCATTTCAGATGGAGAAAGGGCAGTTCCACTGTGATGACTGTGGAATTTGCAGGTGGGGTTTCTTCTTAATGTTTCCGTCGTGATTCTCCTTCGACATGATTATGCATCTGAAACTGTTTCTTCGACATTATGTGCTGCAGAGTTGGTGGCCGCGAGAACTTCTTCCATTGCAAGAAGTGTGGTAAGTATATCATCATCAGACTCCGGTATACATACGTACATTATACATACATTACATGTATAGATATGCATACATAACTCTGTATAAATCTTTTACTCTCGCCCTTAGGGTCTTGCTACTCGATCAGTCTGCGCAACAACCATCGGTGTGTGGAGAACTCCATGAGGCATCACTGCCCGATCTGTTTCGAGGTATTAACCGAAAAAGTCTCTACCTGTATTCGTGAATGGTCGGATTCGGTAAGCGTGAGTTCGTTGCTTTTGCGGATGCAGTACCTATTTGACTCGCTGAAAGACACAATAGTTATGAAATGCGGGCACACGATGCACTGCGAATGCTACCACGAGATGATCAAGCGTGACAAGTACAATCCCGACTCTCTCACTTTGTTTGTGTTCATGTTTGGTACTGTGTTTCCTTGTCTAGATCTGACAGTATGGATAAAGCACAGAAGTTTTAGTTCAAAAGGTTTGGATTTTTATGACTGAACGATCCGAATCTAAGCAGGTTCTGTTGTCCCATTTGCTCAAGATCAGTGATTGATATGGCAAAGACATGGCAGAGGCTGGATGAGGAGGTTAGTGTTTACCCGATTCTCTCGGGCGAATTTGCTTCAAGAAGTTTTAGTTCTTCGGGTATCGTCTCCTCGTGCTGACAGCATCAAAACCTTCATCGGTTTCTTTTTCAGATCGATGCAACTGCCATGCCTCCAGACTACCGCGATAAAAAGGTACCAGCTTTCTTCTCTCTACGCTAACATGACGAGCTCGAAAGAGCGAAAGATGAAACCTTTCAGATGAAAAAGAAAAAGAAATCGGGGGCAAAGACCGAAAGTTGGCATCTTTTCGGCTAGCCCTGATGAACATGGTTTTCTGACAAGAAGCTTGGGGGAGAATTGCAGGTCTGGATACTATGCAATGACTGCAACGACACGACTGAAGTATACTTCCATATAATCGGGCAGAAATGTGGGCACTGCAGATCGTACAATACCCGAGCCATCTCGCCTCCAGTGCTTCCGCAATGACTGATAGGATCATCATCGTATACTTGCCGAAACCTCAGTCCTGTTTATTGTAAGGGACCGAGGAAAAAAAAAACAGAGAAGCAAGAACTTGGTAGCAGATTACTCAAACATGACAGAGTGAAAACAGATAATCTTCTTCCTGATTTGATTTGTTGTTGTTGTTGTTGTTGTTGACATTGATCATTGTATATTGTGATCGGTGTTGGAATACCGGGAATTATGTAAACTTATATTCTTGATCCAGGAAAGTTTCCTGGAGACCGGATCATTGGATCAAGTGGGTTACAGAACACTGGAAACTTAGCAGCGATCAGTGGCATGAATGTCATTTTGTGAAAGAACAACTACCCATGTGTGTGTGTATATATATATATATATATCTCACCCGGTTGAACCAACAAACAGAAAGTTTACATATTTAGGGTTTTTGTTCCTGAAGGAAGCTGATGAAGCAGATTCCGAAATTCCCGCGTCTAAGGCCGAAATCGGTTTGAAACTCTTTTCTGCTAGACCTTAAAAAAAAACCCAGAGGAATCGTGTGTAAGGAAGAAAGGAAGCGAATTTGCCTGAAAGTGATTGATGAATTTGGAAGCTCTGAAGCGTAAGTCTCGTTTGCGTGAAGGGAAAGATCACCAATCGAAACATTACTTGGTAGCTTTGATTGTTCTTCATATGATATCTCTTCTCTTTTAACCTTTGCAGGGTTCATTGAGCAATACCTACAGCCACCATGAGATTGTTCGTCAAGACGTGAAACAAGTACAGAATCGAGATCTCTCTCTCTGTTCCTCTTCGGAGATTCTTGTTCCCAGCATTGCTCGTTGTAACATTTTGTTGCTGTGATGGTGTTTTTAGGTTATTTGTTCCGTTTGCGATACAGAGCAGCCGGTAAATCTCTATCCATCCATTTCATTGCCTCAGTTGTTTTATATCGGGAAGGCATTGTGTTAGTTTCTTTCTTTTCTTGGGAAACTTTGTGTTATCGAATGGTCACAACATTTTCACCGGACCTTGTGCTGAGAATGGCTTAGCTTTCATATGAAATTGCCTCCATGTTTACATGTTTCATCGAGAAAACGATCGTGGATTTATGATACGATAATGCTCTCTTGATGCTCTTAAGTCGGATTCTCGATGTACTCATTCCAGGTTGCTCATATCTGCTCCAACTGTGGTGTAAACATGGGGGAATATTTCTGCAAAACCTGCAAATTCTACGATGATGATGTAACTATCGCCTATCTAATTCATCAAATGATCCGTGAGGAAGTGGTGAGAGTGGAATTGGGTCGTTGTCCGTGGATGATGACTGGCTTCAAAATCAGACAGAAAATCGGTTAGTATCATAACAGCCGCATATATTTTTACTATTTCGATTTTGCCCCATGACTTTTTTAGAATGTGAATTTAGGGCACGACTATGTAAAAATGTCGATTTGATCCATGCACATCAACTGAAAAAAAAAAAAAAAGAATTGCAAGTAGCTTGTAATATCGGTTGACAAGGTCCACTGTTTTATCTTTTTCTATTGTCGGGTGAAATAGTATCCTTAATAGATAAGGTTGAAGATTTTCAAATGTCAAATCCATGCAATAGTTTTTTTTTAAAAGTTTCCAACTTACCAGAATGGAGTGATTTTTGGGTTTTAAAATCCAAAAACCAAAAAAATTAATAATCAAATTTTCATAAAAATAGTTTTTCTAAAAACTTGAAAAATTATTATCATCACAAAATCAAATAAAAACTATTTTTGTTTAATTTACAAAAACGAAAAAACTAACTGGTTTTTATTTTGAATTTTTAATTTTAATTTTTGGTTTTTTGAGAAGAACTTCCAAAGTTTTTGGATTTCAAAAAGTAAAAAAACTGATAATTAAGTTTTTTTAATTTGGTTTTTCTAAAAATCCGAAAATCTATTTTATAAAAAAAATCAACTAAAAATCAAAAGCCATACTTTTTAGGTTTATAAACTTATAAAATCCGAAAGTCAAAAATAAAAAATTTAAAACCAAAAATCAAAAACTAAAGCCGAAAACTAAAAAAAAACCATTACCATCAATTTTTTTCAATTTTTAAAATTCAAAAACTCCGAAACTCTTTCCATTCAACAACCAAAATCTCAAAACTAATAACTAAAAATTAAAACAAAAAAACCAAAATAAAAACCAATTAAAAGTCAAACCCTACTAAAACAATAACTGAAAGAGCTTTTGTTGGTTCCCAAACGTCACTTTGCATGTTTTTTCGGTTTCATGTAAGGCCACACTACAAAACCATGTTTTTCAAAGGAATTAATTTTAAAAAATGAATTTTAATATTTAAATCTAAGACGGATAAAGCTTGACAAGATCCTGCAATTATGCGATATGAATGAAACTCGGCATATTCCGTGGTTGGAATCTGCTCTCGAGTTTATTTATTTTAGGATTATTTCAAATTAAATCCAGCAGTTATAGAAAACTGAAAACAAAAATACAAGATGCTCAGTCTGGAAATTCCAAATTTACTTTTTTTATTTTTTTATCCATCAACCATATATTTTACATATTAAACTATATATATAGCGGAATTACATATTTACTATTAAAGATATGTTTGTAAAATCAAATAAGAAATGCCCTTTTGTTTTGTTTTTATTTTAAATTAAATAAAGAGATTGTGGTGGGAGATTGATGATCTTAGCGCTACAGAATCTGGAGGGAACACACTTGCGTGGACCTGACTCAGCCCGAATTTTTCTGTCCTCCCATGTTTCACCACGTGGCATCTTGTCTGAATCAGTTTATTTTTTTTTTATTTTCCATCAAGGTTTCCTCGTTCACATGACGTGTCCTTTCAACATTCCACGTCAGCTCTCACGGGACAATTTAATGTTATCCACCCACACGTTTTTTGTAATAAAAAACGACCGTCTCTATCCAAAATTCCATTTTGGTAGTTTAATCAAACAACTTGGATTTGGATTTCTCCTCTTCTTTCAAACTTCAATGATTTATATATATATATATATATGTATATATTGAGCTAAGTTCATAATAAGTTTTTACTGGTATTTTCATCCCCGTTATATCTGAATTTATAAAGAAATTTAAAATATAAATATTCATTGTAAATGGACATAATTTTGTAAAATCCTTTTTATATATTGAACATTAAATTTTAAAACGTTTTCTTGCAACCAATATATATAACAGTTCAAGAAATGCAACATTTTTTTGTCATTATTTGTCGTCTAAATAGACTAAACTGCCATTAAAATTTGACCGGAAAAAATTGCCTTTGATAAAAATGATGAAATTAAGCGGCTGACAATTGGGAGCATCCTCATGGTGACACGTGTCCTCCCACGGGAATCTTTACCAGAACCCCCGTAGGGAATTTATTAATTTATTTTCCTTTTAATTTCTTATATAAATCAGAATCAAAGTACAAAATAAATCCATAATAAAGAGAGTCCTTTGAACTCGTCTTGGCTTCCTGATCCAAAATCCCGAATCAGATTCCGTCTTTGCGATTCCCACGTTTTGCAGTCCCTTATCCGTCTGCGATTCATTGTTATCCATTTATTTTCGCTGCGATTTTGGGTGATTTCCCGGAGATTCAACCCGCGGATCTAGGGTTTTCTGTAGACGCGAAAATTCGAAAACTTTTCGTTTTCTTTCCTTTCTTCCACTTGAATTATCGTTCTTGTATTCTGAACTTTTCGCCAAATGGAGGTCTCGGTGATCGGAAATTCCCAGGCGAAGATATGCAGAGCAGAACTGGCGCACAGGGAGATAAGATTCTTCTATGGATCTGAAGTAATTCCTTTTGAATCGAGGAATAGGGTTAGTTTTGGGGGACAGAGCTCCAGGTGCAAGGTGATTGGTCTCCAATGCTCTGCTAGGGCTGTCAGATGCGAGGCTGTCATGTCCGATAACCTTCCGGTTCTGAAATCCACTCCAAGATCCAGATCGGTAATTGACACTTCTCTTGATTATCATCTTCTGAGTGTCTATCAACCGAAAAACGATCCGGGTTTCGTTAGATTCAGTAGATGTTCTTTAAGTTTCTTGGTTGAAATTTGAATTTAACTTTCATTTGGAGTTAGGTTCTTCCTAGATTTTTCTACCGATACGATGTGACAATCATCAGCGAATTTTCTCGATTACTTTGTTTTTTTGTTGGGATTCTCGATTACTTTGTTCTGGTTCCTGTTCATCTAATCCCAATTCTATGAACAAGATAGACAAGTAAAAGCTCCAATCTTGCTGTAGCATGATTTTATTTTGGATGATCAATTTTGAAATGTGGTTTTTTCTTGCAGTTTGAGAACGTAAGATTGTTCGTGGGTCTTCCTCTGGATACGGTTTCGGTCTGCAACACGGTGAACCACTCTAAAGCCATAGCTGCAGGACTCAGAGCTCTGAAGTTGCTCGGTGTAGAAGGCCTCGAGCTACCGGTCTTCTGGGGAGTGGCTGAGAAAGAAGCCATGGGCAAATACGACTGGTCAGGTTACCTTGCGGTGGCAGAGATGGTTCAGAAAGCGGGGCTCAAGCTTCAAGTCTCGCTCTGTTTCCACGGCTCGAATCAGGCAAAAATCCCGCTCCCGAGTTGGGTGACACGCTTCGGGGATTCAGAACCTGGCGTATACTTCACTGATAAATCTGGGAGACAGTATAAAGACTGCTTGTCTTTTGCGGTTGATGATCTTCCTGTTCTTGATGGAAAGACTCCCATGGAGGTTTACCTTGGTTTCTGTGAGAGCTTCAAGTCGGCTTTTTCAGATTTCATCGGCAACACAATCTCGGTAGGGAATGTTTTTGTTTATCATCGTACGCTGACTTTGAGTTCTTTGTGGTAATGTTTCGTTGCTAATTCCGTTCGTGTTTTGCAGGGAATCACGATAGGTTTGGGACCAGATGGCGAGCTTAGATACCCTTCTCATCACCATTCCCTGACCGGAACCAAAATTTCCGGCGCCGGAGAGTTTCAGTGCTATGACAAACACATGCTCGCTTCTCTCAGGCAGCATGCTGAATCCACCGGAAACCCCCTGTGGGGACTCGGCGGCCCAC